TCCAGATTTGCAGATGGATGCGTCTAAATTAGGCATGGCAATCTAACAGAATAAGAGTTGGAAGGGACCTTGGAAGTCTTCTAGTCTAACCCTCTGCTCAAGCAGGAAACCTTATACCATTTCAGACAAATGGCTGTCCAGTTTCTTCTTGAAAACCTCCAGGGTTGGAGCATCCACAACTTCTGGAGGCAAGCCATTCCACTGGAAAGCCATCTATGATTAAATGAATCACGGTTTAGCGAATGAAACCCATCCCATTCCGTACGCAGAAAACACTGAACCATGTAACCTCACCCTACACTTCTGCACATTAGACTGACCCTCAAACTATCTGCTTCATTTCAGCTGTAAAAATGCTACAGCATTCATACCAGTCCTGGTATGAATGACCCCATGGTCACATGTGGCTCTTTGACTGTCTCTGTACAGCTCTATACAGATGCAAATTAGAAATCAGATGCAAATAACATTTTCCTGTAATTCTTTAATAGTTTTTTATTTTAGTCCAGAACCCTAGGAGGTCAGCTGGGGCTTGGCAACAAGTCTTCTCCTCACTCTGAATCCCTATGGCTACCAAGTTGGGAGAACCAAGGCAGATGAAGGATTTTGTGACTTAAATACGGACTTTTCTAGGGACCATCTGCTCCAAGTTGATGGTCCCTAGAAATGACTCCACCCACTTATATGAATGGGTGGAAAGATCATACTGAAAATTTCACCCATCCCAAGATGTCACTTGAAAAAACTGGTTCCCAGGTGTGGACCTTCTACCCCTTTTGGAGGACAACATAAACATAGACTCCCTTCTACCACTGATGATGTCTGCAAGAAAACAACCAAGCTCACAGAGCACCAAAGTTCAACCTTGAGCTACAAATATCCTCTTCTATGGCAGCAGCTTGGAATATGGCCAATTATACAGGGCTGTCCAGTCAAAACAGTCAAGATGGCAACTGCGACAGTATGACTGAAGCTCTGCCTGTTTTTTATGTCATTAAAAATAGGCAGAGCTTGGATCACATCATGTTGATTGCCACCTTGACGTTTTGTTATTAGAATTTGAAGACACCCCTGGGTTGATATAATGAACATGGATGGTGCAGGGCTTTGCTTTTTCTATGATCTCCAGGCCACCAAGAATCTTTGAATGGGACGCTCTACAAGTATCTATAAAAACACATTAAAAAAATGAATATTGACAGTTAAGACAAAATAAGGCAAAAAGAATTCAGAAGGGGCATTTAAAATTTAATATTTGAGTCAGTACACACCGAAACACTCTTAACATAATTTATCCAAGAATATACATTTGGATAGTAAATTTAAAAATTTTGAAAAATCACTCCATGATTCAGTCACTCCCTCACTGAATTTTTGTGCTGGAAGCTGGCTAGGAAGGTCACAAAGGGTGATCCTGTGATCCTGAGATATTCCTACCCTCGTAAATGCATGCTGGTTACCAAGTGCCCAAATTTTGATCATGTGACCGTAAGCGTGAGGACCACTTGTAAGCCACATTTTTCAGTGCTGTCATAACTTTGAACGCTCGCTAAATGAATAGTTGTAAGTTGGGACTACCTGTAATTAAGAACCCAATTTTGTTTCGGAGCTGATGAAGGAATGCATTTCAGGATGCTCCACTTACTTTTGTGAGACTCGGAAAACTCAGCAAGAAATATAGTTTGTTATCTTAGGCTGTATTGCCATCTACTGACTGTTTCCTTTTAGTGCTTTAAATTGTCCACATTCTTCAATCGGAAAGGGTTGTTTAGATCAGAGATTTTGCTACTGTTTTTCACCGCACCTTAACATTTGATGAGAACTTGTTGGGCTTCCTTGAAAGACCAAAAAATAAAGTTCACTCAAATCTAGACAATTTTCTATCATTAGAGTGGTGAAAATCATTTGTGCAGGGCAGAATTTCTCAACCCTGGTGACTTTAAGATGTCTGGACTTCAACTCCCAGAACTTCCCAGCCAGACATGTCTGGCTGAGGAATTCTGGGAGTTGAAGTCCAGATGTCTTAAGGTCACCAAGGTTGAGAAACATTGGTGTAGAACAGGGGTCTTCAGACCTGGCCCTTTTATGACTTGTGGACTTCAACTCGCAGAATTCCTCAGCTGGCTGAGGAATTCTGGGAGTTGAAGTCCACAAGTCATAAAAGGGCCACCTTTGAAGACCCTTGGTGTAGAATCTGATCTCCTGTCAATGCAAATCTAAATCCCAGTATCCATGGTGGATAGCTCTCCAGCCTCTGCTTGAAATTACAGGAAAGCCCATTTTTCTCCAGTAATGGATTGTTTTGCTAATCTGTTCTTACTATTAGGACTAACATTTAACATCAGCCTTGCTCTTATTGCAGTCCACGCTTTAGCGTCCAGCCTTCCACCTTTCAAGTCTGCGTTTGTACAGTATGTCCATATGGTAACTGAATTAATCCATTCTCTGCATTGAACAATTAAATTACAGGGAAACATGTTTTGGAGCTAAATTGATAGGTGCCAAGCAATAAGAGAACATATTATGTATAGGTATAGTCCTTAATTTATGGCCACAAGTGAGCCCAAAATTTCCATTGCTAAGTGAGACACTTTTAAGCGAGTTTTGCCCTATTTGCAGCCATTCTTGCCATGGATAATGGGATTTAGATTTGCATCGACAGGAGATCAGACTTTATACCAGGGTTCTTCAAACTTGGCCCTTTTATGACTTGTGGACTTAGTAAGTTAGTAACACGGTTGTGAAGTGAATCTGGCTTCCCATTGACTTTGCTTATCAGAAATTTGCAAAAGGAGATCATATGACCCCAGGACACGGCAACCATCATAAATCTGAGCCAGTTGCCAAGTGTTCGAATTTTGATCACGTGACCATGGACATGCTGCAACAGTTGTGTGAAAAAGAGTTATGCCACTTTTTTCAGCACTGTAGCATTAATATTACTCTTGTGTGCAAAAATAGATTTCTGGGAGACGGTTCTACTGACCCCCGATTATTCAAATAATTAATTATTTGAATAATTATGTTTACATGATCTTACCTTTGATCTCTCTTTAGTTAGAAAGAGACAAAAAATACCACTACACTTGCTCTTTCCTTAGAGAAAATCAGGGCTCTTCTGCAGATGAAGGCTGCATCCAGATGAAGGGGCCTCATTGGTTTGACCAAAGCACACTATCATAATTACTTTTATTTTAAAAAGCAGGCATGGAGTTAACTAAATCTTGGAAGAGGAATTCTATAGTCACTATCTGTTTCATTGATGGCATGCCATCCAGTCATTGTCAACTCTCAGCAACCACATAGATCAGAGGTCTTCAAACTTCACAACTTTTAAGACTTATGGACTTCAACTCCCAGAATTCCTCAGCCAGCCGTGGCTGACTGAGGAAATCAGGGAGTTGAAGTCCACAACTCTTAAAGTTGCCAAGTTTGAAGACCTCTGACATAGATTTTCTCAGTAAAGACCTGCTCCCCAGCCTGGTCTTTCAGATAGCCTGATGGTACACCCATCATCTCTGTAACTGAGTCCCTCCACTTTCCCACTGGTGGTCCTCTTCTTCCCTCACCTTCCATCATTCCCAGCATCACAGCCTTCTCCAGAGAGCTGGGTCTTTACAGAGTCCAAAATAGGATAATTTCAGTCTGTGCCACAAGTGAGGACTCTGGGTTGATTTTACCCAGTTCCAAATGCTGCTTTTGAGCACCACACTGATCCCAGAGTGTGAAACCAGGTTCTTTGGAAATCATTTTTTTGAGGTGGTCTCAACTTGACATCAACCTTGTTCTGAAATCAACTCACACGCCTTACAGGCCCAAACTGATCCATGTCAGTTGATCCGTTTGTCAACTTGTCTGGACTGGCAAAGGGTCTCCTGCTCAAGCAGGGAGTTGGACTAGCAGACCTCCAAGATCCCTTCCAACTCTGTTATTCTGCCAATCTCATTTTGCACTTGAAACACATGTTGTGTGCACAACATTGAAAGGGCCGTAGGTTTATCTGGAAGATAATTCCCATGTGGAACTTTTAGCCTAATCATTTTTGCTTGCTAGGATTTTCTCTTATGTGCAAAAGCTCACAATCCAGGTTCTTAAGAGCTTAAACTAGCGCCATTTTGGCTATACAGGTAGTCCTCAACTTACAACTATTCCTTTAGCAACCATTTGAAATTACAATGGATGAAAAAGTGACATATGGCCGGCCCTCTTATGAATGTCGTAACATCCCCCTGGTCATGTGTTCAAAATTCAGGAGCTCGGTTACTAGTCAATATGTATGACAGTTGCAGTATCCCAGGGTCATGTGATCATCTTTTGAGACTTTCCCAGTTGGCTTCTGACAAGCAAAGTCAACGGGGAAATTAGATTTGCTTAACAACCCCGTGATTCATTTAACCACTGCAGTGACTCACTTAACACTTAAGATGGCACAAAATGTACTAAAATCAGGTCTGACTCACTTAACAAACACCTTGCTTAACAACAGAAATTCTGGTCCCATTTCTGGTTGTAAGTGGAGAACTAACTATAATGTTCTTTCTGGTCCTTCTCAACCTTTCCTGATTAACCATTGTTGAGGGTGGGGGAAGCAAAACAAGCAGGAAGGCCTTGTACAATCTTATCCCTTTGCTCTCTGAATCTTTGGTGAGTCACTCCATGGTAGCCATTTTGTGACTGCACTGATTGTTATGTTACTGGTTTACATATTTGTAATGGCTGCATTGCATCATGGATGTTTATGTTTACTGATCTTGCAATTCCTTCTGTGTACCGATTGATTGATTGTGGCAATTAAAAAAATCAAAATAAAAACTCAAACTCTATTATTAGGTCACTGTTTCTCAACCTCATCACCTTTAAGATATGTGGATTTCAACTCCCAGAATTCCCCAGCCAGGGAATTTTCACAAAAAGTGAAAAATTAGTTCCCTGAAAAAATTTGGCCAAGTCTTTTAACCAAGCACCTTAATCGTACAAAAGAAATCCATGACACTAGTCCCTCACATTTAGAGGCATTTAATTGCTGAAAATCTTAAAGGTTGACTGATTCACACAATATTTTTTTTCTACATCTTTTCAGGAAGATTTTGCCATACACTCCATGTTCTATATAAGACCAATATTTCAAAAAATCTGTAATAGAATTGACATACATACAAGACATTTTTACATTCTCTCCCTTCGGTAATAACTCAGAACTCAGCAACCATGTTTTAAATTCATTTATATTTTAATAGTATTAAATTAGCTTAAATTACTTGATTCTTTCTTTTTAAATTCCACATTTGAAACCAATCTAAAAAGGAGCAAAAAAAAAAAAAAAAAGACGCCACAGCAATATTAATTCCAAATGTTACTCGTTTTTCCCCGTTCAGTCAGATCTGTACAGCAAAAAAGCAATAAGAATTTGCTGATTACTCTTCCTACCATACAGCAAGCAGGGGAAGAATCATGCTATACAAGGGTCAGAATTTTTTTCACACATTCTAGTGTTTTAAGCTGTGTAATCATACACCCCGAACTACTTTTCTACAGAGGACATTTTGGTATGGAAAAAAAATTCATTTTGTTTGAAGTTCCCTTTTTTAATTCTCCAGTTTTTCTTTTCTTGTACAAAATATTACAATGATTTTTATATATATTTACATAGGTTTTTTTTTTCAAACAGCTAGAAAACAGTGGTGTCTTACAATCAGGCTTGGCGAACCGTTTTTCTTTTCTCTGTGTATTCAACAAGACTGGGAATTAAAAAACGCCGCAGCTATAGTGGCTGAAGTCAAATTCATTGTTTAAGGTGGTCTGCAAAATGAATATATCCTGATTTCTTGCACAAACCAAGCCTTAATTAAAAGTGTAGTCACAATCAAACAAGGGGCATGTAGCCTTACCTAGAACCAAAGGGAAGGTAGCTAGTTTTTATGGTAAGAAATATGGATATGCTAATTATTTCAGATGTGCTCCCAAGTTTCAAATATTTTATTAATTTTTTTGGGGGGGTATTTTTGAATCAAATTTATCTCCTACATTTCAAGTCAGTTTAATGTCAAGGCAGAAGTCACTTTAGGAAATTGAGATATGTTCAACACATGCCTTAAACCATACACAGCCAACCTAGTGCAAACCTCTTTGCTCTATTATTACAATTATTATTTTCTTTCTTTTTTTTTTTAAATAACTTGACATTTGACCAAAGGGGAAGAGCCAAGTTTTAAAGCTGTGGTTTGTTTTGTTTAATGGCTTATGGTACAACTCCCTGCCTTTTCAACAAAATGAGGTATGCAATACAAACTGTGGTTTGTCAGATGAATTCATCACAAATCACTGGTGGAAATAGTGACTGATTTGTGTGTGTGGGGGGGAAGGGCGGGAAGAAGGACTACAAAATCCTAATTTTGAAACAGTGCCAAAAACAGGAAAGAAAGTCAAAGGGACAGGGGGGAATAGAGGAAAGAGCAGTCCAGAAGATGGGTTAAGGGGTTTGCTAGTAGTTTTCCGTGCACTGAGCAAATCCTCTTTCCACCAGTGTTCGGTTGATGGACACCAACTGGAAGAGAAAACAAAGAGAAACATTAGTGAGTGAACTTAGCAATAGCAGAAGTGATCTTGCACACTCAGATACATCTTGGCCAAATGTCTATGGAGATTCTCAATCATCTAGGTCAGGGGTCTTCAAACTTGGCCCTTTTATGACTTGTGGACTTCAACTCCCAGAATTCCTCAGCCAGCATGCCTGGCTGAGGGATTCTGGGAGTTGAAGTCCACAAGTCATAAAAGGGCTACATTTGAAGACCCCTGATCTAGGTCAAAGTTTCTCAACCTAGCAATTTGAAGATGGGTAGATTTCAACTCCCAGAATTCCCCAGCCAGCATGGCTGACTAGGGAATTTTGGAGTTGAAGTCCACATGACATCAAGTTGCCAAGACTGAGAAACACAGATCTAGGTCATGGTTGTCCCAAAGATGCTTTTCCAAAAGGCAACTGGACTTTATATATATATATTAGTAAATTTGGAAGGTACCTTGGAGGTCATCTAGTCCAACCCCCTGCTCGGGCAGGAAACCCTACACCATTTCGGACAAGTGGCTGTCCAGTCTCTTCTTAAAAACTTCCAGTGTTGGAGCATTTACTGCTTCTGGAGGCAAGCTGTTCCACTGATTAATTGTTCTCACTGTCAGGAAGTTTCTCCTTAGTTCTAGGTTGCTTCTCTCCTTGATTAGTTTCCACCCGTTGCTTCTTGTCCTGCCTTCAGGTGCTTTGGAAAATAGCTTAATTCCCTCTTCTTTATGGCAGCCCCTGAGATATTGGAATACTGCTATCATGTCCCCCCTTGTCCTTCTCTTCGTTAAACTAGACATACCCAATTCTCGCAACCGTTCCTTATATGTTTTAGCCTCCAGTCCCCTAATCATCTTTGTTGCTCTTCTCTGTACTCTTTCTAGAGTCTCAACATCTTTTTTGCATCGTGGTGACCAAAACTGGATGCAGTATTCCAAGTGTGGCCTTACCAAGGCATTGAAGAGTGGTATTAATACTTCACGTGATCTTGATTCTATCCCTCTGTTAATGCAGCCTAGCACTGTGTTGGCCTTTTTGGCAGCTGCAGCTGCCAAACTTTCTTGGGGCTTTTTTTTTTCCCATCCAAGAAGCTTCTTCAGTTCCAACTGGTGGGGAATGGAAGGATTTATATTAAATTAATACCACTGTGAGGGTTGGTCATTAGCTCTCTGAGGCCACTTGAGGGTTTATCCGTACCCTTAGGATGAACTCTCAGAGTGCTGAAGAAGCTTGTTGGATGAATGGCTATCTTGTAACCCTGAGGCGCTGCAACCATCATAAATATATGATGGCTGCTAAGCTCCCAAATGTTGATCATGTGACCATGGGGACACTGCAACGGCCATAAATGTAAGAACGGATCATAAGTCACTTTTTTTTAGTGATGCTGTAACTTAAAATGGACATTAAACAAACAGTCATACATCGAGCACTACCTGTAGAAGGGTAATATATCTAATTAAAAGATCTTTTAATTTCAGATGTTGCTCTTTACCCAATGAAAAGTGGATTTTAACAATATAGGCTCATGGATATATCAAGCATGGGAAATAGCAGAAAAAAATGACACTTTACAACAGAAAAACATTTTGAACTGATTGTATGTCCTTACTTGCTGATAATTAATTTCTTTATGAACGTAATGAAAGAACTGATCAATATTATTCCCTGGGGTCAAGATTAAATGTTTGGTTTAAAAAGTGAGATTTTATATCTTTATATTTATCTCTGTCTGTCTGTCTGTCTGTCTGTCTGTCTGTCTCTCTCCCTCCCTCCCTCCCTCCCTCCCTCCCTCCCTCTGGTTCTTAATGACTGAAGTTATGACCGACCCACAAAAGGTACTTTGCAACCTATTTTTGAAAATCCAACTGTCATCTCCACAACTGGCCCACACTTACTGTCATTTGTAGTGTGACCACAAATTTACATTTTTTTTCCTGAAAACTAGCATTTATTTCTAGTTTTCTGCAAAAACACCTCACAGTGAACAATAGGCTCACTTAAAAATGGTGGCAGTCCCTTAGTGACAGTGGATCTGCTTAACAGCCACCACAAAAACAGGTTATAAAATTGGTCAGTCAAATGGGTGACCTATGACCATATTGGGTAGACTCCATTCCAGTCGAGGACTACATACATATTGTAAGTCGAGGACTACATACATATTGTCTTTTTCTTCTTTGCCAAAGATATATGTATTTGCAGTATTTACTGAAAGTCACAGGTTACATTAAGATTGCAATCTTTCATTCAGGTATGTAAAACACCTTCCAACTAGCTTAAAAGTGGCCTGTAATTGAAATCCAAACCCGCAGATCACAATCACTGTATAATTCTATTTTTTTTAATAAACTTTGTTAGCTGGGAAGGATTCTCCCACCTCCTCCAGTACTGTGTTCTGAAATGGTGTTCCCACTGAGACTGCCCTTCTGACACTGGGCAATGTTTTAAAAGAAAATTGCAGCTGGCTTTCTGCATTGAAGCTGAGCTGATGCAGAATTCACTTTGAAGCTGGGAGAGAGCTGGTTTGAATTAAGCACAATTTCCTCTTTCAGTGGATTCAGCTATTCAGTTTGTTCTTTTTTTGTTGTTGTTGCAATTGAATAATTGTTTAAATCGCCTTGTTGAATGGATTTTGCCCATCTGGTGCAAACTTCCACAAAAGACATGCTGAAGAACTCAACCATGTCGGTCAACGAACCATGCCTTTGTCAGTTGTAGCCCTCATGCTATGGCACATGCTATGCCCGGGGTATGACTGGCATCTGAATCTCATTCAGGAAAATATTTCAATCCATCTTTATCTTTAACAAATCTTCGAATCCCAAGGTGATTGTGGATTATAATTATTGAAGATGTTTTCAAACTGTTTTTGAGATATTCTATTTTGTTTCTGCACATAGTCCTCGACTTACGACCACAATTGAGAGCAAAATTTCTGTTGCTAATTAAGACAGTTTTTAAGTGAGCTCTGCCCCATTTTGATTTTTCTTGCCACAGTTGTTAAGTGAATCTGGCTCCCCCATTCACTTTACTTGTCAGAAGGTCATGAAAGGCAATCACATGACCCTGGGACACTGCAACCGTCATAAATGTGAGTCACTTGCCAACCATCTGCATTTTGTTCATGTGACCGTGGGGATGGTAAAATGGACATAAGCAAGACACATTTTTCAGTGCAGTTGTAATTTGAACAGTCACTATATGAACTGTTGTAAGTCGAGGACTACCTATACTGGCCAGTTTAAATGAGATAGTATTTTGGGTATGTGTGTGCGTATAACTATCTTAAGTGAAAAGACATTCCAGGTCGTTTTTGCTTACTGTCCACTCACTTAGTGACTGTTCAAAGTTACAACAGCACTGAACAAAAAGACTTACGACTGGTCCTCAAACTTATGGCTGTTTCAACATCCCCAGAGTCACATGATTGCCATTCAGGCACTTTGCAATCAGTTTGCTTACATGACAGCTGCCATGTCCCATGGTCATGTGTTTGGCATCTGTACACAGCTGACTTTTGACAAGCAAAGTCACTGTGAAGGCCAGTCACAGTTATGGGTTGACTCATATAATGACAGTAGTGATTCACTTAACAACTGCAGAGAAAAGTGACAAAGTCCAGTGCAGTCACACAATGTCTTGTTTAATGATCATGTTGCTTAGCAACAGAGTTTCCAGTCTGTGGATGTTATGGGAGGACTTGTGTACACATGCAGTCCATAAAATGTGAAGTTTATATTTTAAACAAAGTCTCTCTAGTTGAAATAAAAATTTCCCCCTTCTTTTTGTCTATGCTTAATTGACATGCTCCTCCGCTAAAGAATATTGGTAATTAAAGAAAAATATTACTAAATTTATCTGTTGCAATAAAAATTCCAAGGCAGGCAGCTTTAACACGCTACCAAACCATCCCAAAATCCAGTAGACATACTTAGCAGCTTATTTCACTCCAGAATGAGAAGTTATCAGTTCAATAAATAATTTCACTGTAAATAAAAGATTTTGCCTTTTGATGACAAGCCCATCAAGTTAATGCTAGAGAAACTCTCACCTGGAAATATTAATCTCCTTTGCAGGAGAGTCTAAAATCTGGAAATTGCCACTCAATTCCTGCCATTTGGAGGATGAACAGAAAGTCTTATCTTTGTACCTCCTGATAAAATATTAATTTGTGGCTTTTCTCTGTTTTAGCTTTCAGTATGGGCAGGAATTTGAAAGGAAAAAAAAAAAACAAATGAAGTCTATCATTCCTGGTGTACAAACAGATGGGTATTTGTATGCGTGCGCACGGACAACATTTTTTTCCAATTGGGCTGGCCCAGTTGCTTTCCTTTCTTTAATGTTTTGCAGAAATATAATGGGAAAGAATTCCAAGAAAGAGCCCGGTCTACCAAAGCAGCTGAGATCCTGAAGAGTGAAGCAAAGTTGGCTTACTTTTCCCATATTGTTTGGTGCTGTCTGCATGGATTAAGAAGACTTGGCACATCCTACGAAGGGGCTTACAGACTCTATTGCTGTCCATCCAAAGACACGCAAACTAAAAAGGAGACCATCTGTCCATCTAACAAACTGGACTGAGAACTGCAGAAAAAAATTGGTGGTGTCCACCTGCAGCCTGGATGACTGGAACAAGGCCAACCAAGAGCAAGCAGGATATTCAACTAAGATCCAACATCTCTCCAAAGTACAAAGTCTAGTTTTTCTATATCTACACAACTTCCCCAAAGAACAGCATCCTACTAAGAAGCCTACTAATGCACATTTTACAAAGGATCTTTCCAGCTTTCTGTTCAAATCACCCAGGTGGTCATAATGAGTGATTCAATTCTGGGATCACTGTGACACATTAAGGACCCAAAATCGATTTGATAGTCTACATACCTCATCTCCTATCATGCTCCACAGTTGTATTAGTGGCAAGCCCGTTGCACTGTCATAATTTGTAACCTACAAATAGAGAAGTCAGTTAATATCTACCAGCAGTAAATGCATGGTTGTTATTAGAAACAAAGAATCAGGAACGTTCATAAGGCTGCAGCATAGAAGACTTGTTCAAGCCTATAATCCTCAACTTACAACCACAACTGAGCTCAAACTTTCTGTTGCTAAGTGAGAAATTTGTTAAGTGAGTTTTGCTCCATTTTACAACCTTTCCTTGCCACTGAATCACCACAGCTGTTAAGTTAGTAACACAGTTGTTAAGTGAATCTGGCTTCCCCACTGACCCTGTGAGAAGGTGGCAAAAGGTGATCTCATGACCTTGGGACACTGCAATCGTCATAAATATGAGACAGTTGACACACATCTGAATTTTGTTCATGTGACCAGGGGGATGCTGCAACAATCCTAAGTGTCAAAAATGGTCGTAAGTCCTTTTTTCAGTGCCGTTGTAATTTCAAACAGTCACTAAACGAACTATTGTAAGTCAAGGACTACCTGTACACAACAATCTGGTCAGCTAAAGTTCAACACTAAATTGGCACCAGATAAGGGTCAATGGAATTTAGGAGGGGTTGGACGTGAGAGTTTTTGTGGGATCACAACTAAATAGATGATACATTTAATCCATCTCTCCATCTCTGCCTGCTCTTCTCCTACCTACAGTTATCCCTTTGAGCTACTATGTTATGTTGCACTATGTTGCAATGAATCAAAAATCTTCCTAGAGCATGGGTGGGGCTGGCTGGCTCAGGAATTCTGGGAGTTGAAGTCCACAATTCATAAAAGAGCCAAGGTTCCCCAACCCCTATCCTAGAGGTTACTAAAATCTTTCCACCAAGCTCTGGACAAGAATTTGCCTGGCTCACAATTTATTTATTCATCATATTTAAGAAATGACATCTCTCTCACAGAGAGACTCCGGGTGGTGTACAATAAAATATTAAAAGCATAAAAAAGAGGATATAAAATTTTAAAAAGGCAAAGAGTATAAAAAACTGAATTAAAGGGAAGGAGGAGGGCTTGCAGGCTGCTAACGAGCCCCAGGGCTATGTGGCTCCTTTGTGTGCCTCAAGCAAGGCCGCTTGTTTTTATGTCTTTATAGAAGGACAAGAAGCAACGGATGGAAACTAATCAAGGAGAGAAGCAACCTGGAACTAAGGAGAAATTTCCTGACAGTTAGAACAATTAACCAGTGGAACAACCTGCTTCCAGAAGCTGTAAATGCTCCAACACTGGAAGTTTTTAAGAAGAGACTGGACAGCCATTTGTCCGAAATGGTATAAGTTTCCTGCCTGAGCGGGGTTGGACTAGATGACCTCCAAGGACCCTTCCAACTCTATTACTACTACTACTACTACTACTACTACTACTACTACTACTACTATAAAAAAAAACAGGAGTGGGGACCCACCACACCTCTGGAGGGAGAGTGTTCCACACGGCAGTGGCAACGTCAGAGAAGGCTCTCTTCCTGGACCCCGCCAGTCAAAATGATTTAATTGACAGGGTCCATAAAAAAAACATCCCTGACTGACTGGGTGGGAGAGGCTGATGTAATGGGACGAAAACAGTTCCTAATCCATAGGTAACCTGGCCCCATGCTTTATAGACCACAACCCGCTCCTTGAATTGGACCCAGAAGCAAACTGGCACCCAATGCAGCTTATATAGCAAAGTTGTTACGTGCGCCATTCTCTGGGTGTCCAAGATATCTCACAAGGCCCAATTTTGTACCAGCTGAAGCTTCCAGATACTTTTCAAGGATAGAACACATTGCCATAGTCCAACCCAGGGGGTCTTCAACCTTGGCCCTTTTATGACTTGTGGACTTCAACTCCCAGAATTCCTCAGCCAGTGTGCCTGACTGAGGAATTCTGGGAGTTGAAGTCCACAAGTCATAAAAGGGCCAAGTTTGAAGACCCCTGGTCCAACCAGTAGATTGTGAAGAATAGTTTATTTATTTGCATTTATTTATTTTTACAAATAATATAATATATAATATAATAGTAGTAAAGTTGGAAGGGACCTTAGAGGTCATCTAGTCCAACCCCCTGCTCAGGCAGGAAACCCTATACCGTTTCGGACAAATGGCTATCCAGTCTCTTCTTAAAAACTTCCAGTGTTGGAGCATTTACTGCTTCTGGAGGCAGGCTGTTCCACTGATTAATTGTTCTCACTGTCAGGAAGCTTCTCCTTAGTTCTAGGTTGCTTCTCTCCTTGATTAGTTTCCACCTGTTGCTTCTTGTCCTGCCTTCAGATGCTTTGGAAAATAGCTTGATTCCCTCTTCTTTATGGCAGCCCCTGAGATATTGGAATACTGCTATCATGTCCGCCATTGTCCTTCTCTTCGTTAAATTAGACATACCCAATTCTAGCAACCGTTCCTTATATGTTTTAGCCTCCAGTCCCCTAATCATCTTTGTTGCTCTAGTCTGTACTCTTTCTAGAGTCTCAACATCTTTTTTACATCGTGGTGACCAAAACTGGATGCAGTATTCCAAGTGTGGTCTTACCAAGGCATTGTAGAGTGGTATTAATACTTCACGTGATCTTGATTCTATCCCTCTGTTAATGCAGCCTAGCACTGTGTTGCCCTTTTTGGCAGCTGCAGCACACTGCTGGCTCATATTTAGGTGATTGTCTACTAGGACTCCGAGGTCCCTCTCACAGTTACTACTATTGAGTATGGTGCCACCTATGCTGTACTTGTGCATTTGGTTTTTCTTGCCTAAATGTAGAACCTTGCTTTTTTCACCATTGAATTTCATTTTGTTAGTTAGTGCCCAGTGTTCAAGTCTGTCCAGATCCTTCGGTATCTTAAGCCTGTCTTCTGGAGTGTTGGCTATTCCTGCCAGCTTGGTGTCGTCTGCAAATTTGATGAGTTCCCCATCTATCCCTTCATCCAAATCGTTGATGAAGATGTTGAAGAGTACTGGGCCCAGAACAGAGCCCTGGGGCACCCCACTACACACTTCCCTCCATATAGATGCAGTTCAATTGAGGACCACTCGCTGAGTACGGCCGGTCAGCCAGCTACGGATCCATCTGGTGGTGGTTCTGTCTACCCCACATTTTTCTATCTTGTCAAGTAGTAGGTTGTGATCTACTTTATCAAATGACTTACTGAAGTCCAAGTAAATTATGTCCACAGCATTACTCTGATCCACTAATTTTGTCACTTGGTCAAAGAATGCAATAAGATTTGTCTGGCATGATCTATTTTTGACAAACCCATGTTGGCTTTTAGTAATGACTTTGTTTGCCTCTAGGTGTTAGTTGATTCGTTGTTTGATTATCTTTTCCAGGATCTTCCCAGGTATTGAGGTCAGGCTGATAGGTCTGTAATTCCCTGGATCCATTTTTTTTTCCTTTTTTGAGGATGGGAACTACATCAGCTCTTTTCCAGTCCTCTGGTAGTTCCCCTGTGTTCCAGGATCTTTGAAAAATATAGTTCATTGGCTCCGATATCACATCTGCCAGTTCCTTGAGAACTCTGGGATGTAATCCATCTGGTCCTGGCGATTTGAACTCATCTAGGCTGGACAGGTGCTCACTAACCATTTTCTTGCCTATCTTAACTTGTGTTTCTATTTTGTTTTTTATGGCACTATTTTTGATAGGTTGGTCTGTTTTTTCCCTTTGTGTAAAGACAGATGCCAAAAACAAGTTAAACAGTTCTGCTTTCTCCCTGTTGCTTGTCACCTTCTTGCCACTAAGCTTTTTTTGTTATTTTTGACTTTGGTCGCAAGCCTTAGTTCATTTTGAGCCTTGGCTTTCTTCACTTCATCTTTGCAGGCTCGGGCTATTTGCTGATATTCTGACTTAGTTATGTTCCCCTCTTTCCATTTTCTATACTTGTCCTTTTTATCTTTCAATTTGTCAGAGAGTTCTTTATGCAGTCATGCTGGTTTCTTTTGAGAGCTGTTGTTTTTCCTCTTTGTTGGCATTGTGCTAGACTGTGCTTTTATTATCTCATTTTTCAAAATTTCCCAAGCTTCTTGAGTTGTTTTCCCCTTGAGGATTCTCATCCATGGAATCCTTCCCAAGCCCTCTCTAAGTTTATTGAAATTAGCTATCTTGAAGTCCAAGACTCTAGTTTGACTGTGTTCTATTGGTTGTGCTTCTATAATGTTGAATTCTAATATTGCATGATCACTTCCTCACAGGGTTCCTATGTCTTCAACACCGTCTATCATTTCATCTCTGTTAGTGAGAATTAGATCCAAAATGGCTAACCCCCTAGTTCCCTTCTCTACTTTTTGGGAGACAAAGTTGTCTGCTAGGTTTGCTAGGAACCTGTTTGATCTTCCACTTGGTGCGGAGTTTGTCTCCCAGTTGATGTCAGGGTAGTTAAAGTCCCCCATTACTATTGTGATGTGCTTCCTACATACCTTAGTTAGCTGAATAGCAAAAAGTTCATCTATTTCCTCTGTTTGGTTGGGTGGTCTGTAGTATACACCTATGGCAATGTCATTCCCCCCCCTTTTATATTGACCCAAATGCATTCAAGACAGTTTTTATCATTGTTGTGCTCTATTTCTGTAGAGATGTAGTTATTTCTTATATAGAGAGCAACTTCACCTCCTCTTTTATTTGGTCTGTTTCTTTTAAATAATTTAAATCCCTCTAACTGTGTGTTCCATGTGTGGGGTTCATCCCACCATGTTTCCGTAATGGCAACAATATCGTATCTGCCCTCATTAACCTGAATTTCTAGTTCACCCTGTTTGCTGTTCATACTCTGTGCATTGGTGTATAAACATTTGAGTCCTTTGTGAGTGGCCCTGTGTTTCCTTTCTATATAACCTGTGTGGTGCCTGAGTTCCCCTATTGTCTTACCACCTATTTGGTTAGTGCACTTTGTGTGGCACTCGCTATTAGAGGCTTCATTTTGCTTGATAGCAAGGTTGGTATTCTTGTCCACACACACATCTATGCTACATGCACTGATAGCCCTATAATTTTTAGATTGCCGGGGACAGGGTTGTTCCGTATCAATTAACTCCCTGTCCCCGCTGTTTAGTTTAAACATCCCTCCAGAAAATCTGTGAATTTATAGCCGAGTAACTCAGTCTCTTTTTTTGATGGATGCAAACCATCTCTTTTGTACATCTTTTGATTGGACCAGCTACTGACATCGTGACTAATATATCCAAAGCCTTCCCCTTTACACCACTCTTTTAGCCACATATTGAATTGTGCTATGCACTGGCCTTTTCCGTTTTGCTCCTTATACACTGGTAAAACCTCTGAGAAAGTAAGCCTACAGCCTATTCTGCTAAGTTCCTTCCCCAAACTCTGGAAATCGTTCTGCACAGAGAGTACATCTTTTTGGGACAGATCGTTAGTGCCAAGATGTACAATAGCCTCCACATCACAGTCCTTGCTGCCATTCTTGATTATTTTAGAAATACGCTTCTTATTCCTACTGGCAGTAGCACCTGGAAGACACCTGACCTCTTTCGAAGCCTCTGTGCCCTTTCCTAAATTTACATCCCTTATAATTGAATCACCTACCAGAAGGTAGCTTCTCTTTTTGGGTGCCTTTCTGTTCTTGCATGACTGATGTGCAATACCTGATTCACACTTCTCCCTGTCTAAATCTAGTTCTTCATCTCGGACCACAATCCCCTGCTTATTTAAGTTATCTTCACAAATACCTTTACCTGTCTCCTTAATGTCCCTATTAAGGTCAGCAAGGGCACTGTAACTGTTGTGCAGGGACATAGCGAAAGCTTGGTGTTTATGATTCACAGCTCTCACCCTGCCAGAACCCACGGTTATCCACACTGCCCTTCTCCTGCAGGATCTTTGTGGTAAAAGGGGCTGATAGCACGGAGGCTTACTAGAGTAGAGGGGCTGAACTGGACGCCTAATAGTTCAAGGTGGCATCCCAATACACCTTTCTCCTCCTATTTTCCTCACAACAATGTGGTGAATTGGGCTGAGAGAAAGGGACTGGACCAAAGTCACCTACCCGGCTTTCATGGCTAAAGTGGGACTAGAACCCATGGTCTCCTGCCTTCTAGACTGGCGCCTTAATGACAAGACTAAACTGGCTCTTATAAACATGAAACTGAATTTGAACAAGCCAAGGGCAGGCCTGATGGTGAATCTATGGCCTGTCAAATATTGTTGAACATCAGCACTGAGATATCAGGAAGTGTGGATTCTACAACATCACCATTTCTCACTAGTTTGACATTCTCTTTCTCCTTTGTTAATGGAAGGAAAAGGGATTTCTCACCACAAATGCCAGTTTTTTCCCAGGTTTAATCAAATCAAAAGAGCTATAAGCAATCCACCTGTAGCTGTTACTCTTACCTCTGCAAGTAAGGGTGTATCCCTGGTCATTTCACTAACAACCGTGTCAGCTTCAGATGAGAAGTTATCATCATCTTTAATAGAAAGGAGGAGAGAGAAAGAATAATTATTCAAAGTGGCCCCTGAACCCAGACCAAAATTAAGCACTCCAGAACCTTTCCATTGGGTTATTCCTGCCTTTTCCGGGAAGGTAGGAGCAAAAAATAAACAGCTTTTTAAAATTGCTCAAATTATAACTGAGCATGATAATCCCTGAAGGAAGTGGAAAAGGTTTGCACTGAGAGTACAGTACTGTATATACTTGCATGTAAGCCCATCTGTGAATAATCTGCCCCTCGAAATTTTCATCTTTTAATTTTCACAATTGGCTTTTGTGGATAATCTGATTTTCATGGTATTTTGGTTAAAAATGCAAGGCTCAGCTTATACTCAGATGGGCTTATATGCAAGTAGATGCAGATACTTTTAAAAAGTATAATTACTAATGTAATACATTTAATTTAAAGGTAAGCCAAACCCAATTTGGAGGTATATTTTGGTACCTAAAGTTCTCAGCTTATCTTCAGGTAAGTATGGTAAGTTCCTGAGTTAAGTCTGAGAAGAATCCGAACTCAGCCCTTCCCATCATTTTCCACCAATGCAATTTATTGAATGGCTGGATGAATGGAGCTGCCTTTCAGTTGTTGGGTTATTGGTGCTGGATTGCCATTTCAAATTTTGTATCCTGTACAGGTAGTCTTTGAGTTATGACCGTAATGAAACTTGCCAATCACAGTTGTAACCCATGATGATCATAAAGCAATCAGTTACATGATCAACCTGATTTTACAACCCAAAGGTGCTTTTTCATGAGGCAACTGGAGTTACTTTTTTTTTTCTCTTTGAAGACGTTTCGCTTCTCATCCAAAGAAGCTTCTTCAGCTCTGACTGGATGGTGGAGAGTTGAAGGATTTATACTCCTTGCAGACAGCTGGTCATTTGCATCCCTTTAGAGAGTCGTTGAGGTCACTTGGAGGTTTATCAATGATTTTCTAAAGAATGCAAATTTGCAGGATGCTGCAAATGACCAGTTGTCTGCAAGGAATATACATCCTTCCATTGCCCACCATCCAGTCAGAGCTGAAGAAGAAATCATAAAATGGGGCCAAACTCACTTTAACAACTGTCTTAATTAGCAACAGAAATTTTGGTCTCAATTGTGGTCGTAAGTCGAGGACTACCTGTAATAAAATCCCAAACCACAAAGATAGACACATCCCTCTTATGTTTCTAGGGGGTATTACCTGGAAGTGGCACCACATTGTCCAAAAGAACCTCAGCTCCTTGGAATGGCAGGGTTACAAAGTCAGATCTTAAAAAAAAAAAAGAGAGATGAATAAGGAAATGTATTAAAAGAACAAACAGACACCTTAGAAATGTCTAGGTCAGGGGTAGGCAACCTTGGCTCCTTTATGACTCGTGGACTTCAACTCCCAGAATTCCTGAGCCAGCCATGCTGAAGAAAAAGGGAGAGGTTTCCATGCTGAGCCATGATGGCTCAGGAATTCTGGGAGTTGAAGTCCACGAGTAATAAAAGAGCCAAGGTTGCCTACCCCTGGCCTAGGTTTACAATCTAAGACCCAAAGCTTCCTTCTCTCTAGCTCCTTTAGGCAAAAAATGGGAATACTTTTGGCAGCAAGCTATTGGGCTTAGACTAGAGTTCCCCAAAATGATTCATACTGACCCTGAAAGGCCCACTGGACTATCCAAGGAGTCAATGTTATTTTTGCAAATAGTCTTCCACTTGCAAACTCAACTGAACCCAGAATTTTGGTCCTCGTTGCAGTCATTAAGCAGGTCCTCATATGATCTGACTCGATTTTACAACTTTTACAGTGGTTGTTAAGTGAGTCATGGTGGTCATTAAGCAGATCATGTGGTTATTGAGCGAGCCATGTGATTGTTAACTTAATCCAGTGTAGCCTGTGACCAGCTCTTGGTTAAATGCGGCCTTAAACTTGGTCCCTTGACTACTTATGGCTGTCTGTGTGTGGTTGCCCAACTTAAGAGTTTCTTGCATTGTGAGAAAGATCTTTATTGCTAATACGGCAATATAACAGAATTTTGAAAGTCAGCCAAGCAATTTTCAAGATCAGCTTGTACCTAGCATGACTAAGCTAAAGTTTATTTTTTTAGCTGTTTAGTTTTTGTCCAAGATCAAGTCACAGAATTTAAAAATACAGCACATCCATTAATACACACACAAGAATAGGTACAGGTATTCCTCACTTAACAACCACAATTGGGACCAACAATTTTGTCACTGAGCAATATGGTCATTAAGAGAGACATCAGGTAATCTTGTCTGGCAATTTTATTGCTGGCTTCTCTATCGATTCTGCTTGTTGAAAGATGGCTGTGAAGCAGGCAAATGGCGGTCACTTGAGCGGAGAGAGCTTGTGACTGTTATAAAGGCCTGCCGATTGTGAAGCCCCATCATTGTGAGGATGATTCAACCAAACTACCCACCCAACTAAAGGCCAACATTTTAATTGCTGCACTATATTACAATCACATTTTCCAACTGCTTCTTCCAGACCACTGGTATTCAGCTAAGAGACTCTAATTTCTTACAGTTAACCAGTGGAACAGCTTGCCTTCAGAAGTTGTGGGTGCTTCATCACTGGAGGTTTTTAAGAAGAGACTGGACAGTCACTTGTCTCAAATGATACTATAGGATCTCCTGCTTGAGCGGGGGGCTGGACTAGAACAGGGGTCCCCAACCTGTGGGCCTTGGCTCACTACTGGGCCATGGGCTGTTGGCCACTGGGCTGCGTCAGTGGCTGGCCAATGCATACACGTGTGTGTGTTTGCACTCCCCACTCACAGTAACGTTGCAATGTCGCGCGGGCACTAGTGATGCCGTGAGGGTTGTGCAGGTGCTAGCGTCGCCATGAGTGCATGCCCCCCCACTCGTGCCAGTGTCACGGTGGCTCTAGTGATGTCTTGAGTGTTGTGCGGGCGCTAGCATGCTCCCTCTACTCGTGCTAGTATTGCGGTGTTGCAGAGGCGTTATCGTCCCTGCGAGCACAAATCCTCACTCGCGCTAGCATTGCGGCAATGCGTGGATGCTAGCATCACCTGAGTGTTGCACAGGTGCTTGTGGCCCCGTCGACATCACACACGCAATCACAGCCCGGTGTGTCTGCGCTTGTGGCCCAGTTCACATGGGAACTCACTCGCACACTTAAAGGCGCCTCCACCCCCCGCCCCAGTCTGCCAACGCAAAAAGGTTGGGGACCCTTGGACGAGAAGACTTCCAAGGCCCCTTCCAGTTCTACTCTATTCTGAAAAATTCTAGTTCAGGGGTGTTCAACACTGGCCACTGTAACACTTGTACACTTCCACTGCCAGATTTTCCCAGCCAGCTAGATGAGAGTTGAAGTCCACAGGTCTTAAAGTGGCCAATGTTGGACACTCCTGAACTAGTTTCAAGTGGAGAATCTGGAAAGAGTCTGCAAGGATGAAACAAGGTCCATCTATTTCAACATTCATAGAATTCAGGATGCCAACCTCTCAGAGAGGAACTCCGGGTCACCTCACCTGATTTGTCTAAGTGAATCAATCTTGACTCGTTCGTATCCACCATAATCCACATATCTGATTTCCACTTCGCTGACATCTTTGAAGTAGCCAACCACTTGTGCCCGCCACCACGCGCCTTCCACACCCGGTGCGGCACAGACAACGCCAACTGCAGAACAGAAAAATTGGGAACAATTCAGTAGGCAATGCAACAGCTTTCTGGGAAATAAAGAAGTGTGTGTGTGTGTGTGTGTGTGTGTGTGTGTTGTAGGACAGGGGTGGGGAACGATGGTCCTTTTATGACTTGTGCACGTCAACTCCCAGAATTTCTGAGCCAGTTGAAGTCCACAAGTCATAAAGGGGCCATCATTTCCCATCTCTGCTGTAGAAGAACGGGGTCCGCCTTAAGTCCTTCCTTTACTAATAGTCTTTCAAGATACAAGTAGTTCTCGACTTATGACCATAATGGAGACTGCCCATTATGATTTTAAGTCATTATGGTCATAAAGCGAGCCATGGTGGCGCAGTGGTTGGAATGCAGTATTGCCAGTAGTTCGATTCTGACCGGCTCAAGGTTGACTACACCGTCCATCCTTCTGAGGTCAGTAAAAGGAGGGCCCAGATTGTTGGGGGCAATATGCTGACTCTGTAAACCGCTTAGACAGGGCTGCAAAGCACTATAAAGCGGTATATAAGTCTAAGTGCTATTGCTATTGTATGACTAATTTTACAAATTTTTTTTTTTTTGCAGTGGTCGTCCAAGAAATCATTATAATAGTTAAATAAATCTGTGGTCATTAAATAAACCCACTGTTTCCTATGTGGCGTTTTGAATGAAAACTGGAAGCAAATGACAGTCTTGGGCCAGAACAGTGTAAATTGCAATCACATGACTGCAGGTCACCTCAAATAGCCATAAATGCAGGCCAACTGCCAAGCAGTCAAAATGCAGTCACATGACCATGGGGGAGCAGATGTTAAAACTTTAAAACCAAGTCAAAAGGACCGTTTGGTAGGGGTAGGGGGGAACCATCAGAATTTTGAAAGGTTAGTCAGTGACCAGCTGTAAGTCAAGGACTACCTGTAACCATTCCATAATACCATTATTTTCTTTTTTCAGAAATAATCAAACTTTGCAGGTGGCGAGACAGTCTCTGCATTTTATCCAATGGATGCTAATGCCATGGACTCCATGCCAATTAAAATCATTTGTTCAATTATGCCAGGGGTCTTCAAGCTTGACAACTTTAAGACTTATGGACTTGGCAATCAGATTCTGATTGGCCCAAAGTCACCCAGCTGGCTTTCATGCCTAAGGCAGGACTAGAACTCATAGTCTCCTGGTTTCTAGCATGATGTCTTAACCCAGAGGTCTTCAAACTTGGCCCTTTTATGACTTGTGGACTTCAACTCCCAGAATTCCTCAGCCAGGCACACTGGCTGAGGAATTCTGGGAGTTGAAGTCCATAAGTCATAAAAGAGCCAAGTTTGAAGACCCCTGCCTTAACCACTAGACCAAACTGGCTCTCCTATAATAGCAAAAAGCTAGAAGGCTGAAGAATGATTCTTTTCTGCTTCCATTTTGCTGATAAAACCAACATCATCTCCTTTATCAATGGCACAAAGGTGCATGGAAACTATATCGGAGAAGACTTACCCTCTACTGGGGTCGGCATCGTAGGAATCCCAGGTTGGGAATAGCAGAGATACATCTGCTGATCTAGGCTACGAAGGACGTGGAAAGTGGGATGCGTGTGTTGTTGTACGAATAAGTGCCCGGCATTGACTTGATTAACCACAATAACTTCTACTGTAACTCCATCAGGAAGCATGAGCTGCCACAGAAGGATGAAGAGAGATGTATTTCCATGCACAAGTTATGGCATTTAATTTCCAAGCTACAGATTATAACACTGTATAGAAATGAGAGCAGAGTTAAGCAACTTGTACCCTTTGTAATGCAGAGACTACAACGTCCTAAGTTAGCGTAGTAACATGGCTCAACAGGAAGAGATATTGAACATTCATTGTGTAAATCAGTGGTTCTTAACCTGGGCGATATTGCCCCCCAGGGGGTGATTTCATTTTTCAGGGGGGCGAAGGAACGAAAAGGGGGCGATATGGAGGCGATGGAGCGAGAAGTTTTGGGGACACTTTTAAGACTTTTTCGTACAGTGAATCGCTGTATATCTGTTGTACAAAAACATCAGATCGCTCACTATTAGTGGATTGAATTGTGTTTTCAAATGTTCCTCCAGCTAGCTTCAGTACAGAACGCCGTACATATATAAAGACGCATCGCTTATCTTCATGCGCGTTGCGCAGCATCCTCTACCCATACAGTGGCACGCCATTGGCCAGAATATGGGAGATATGGGAAAAAGACTGGAAATAAATTATTTGCATTGATATGTCCTGATGACAATTTTAAAGAAAACAAAACAAGTGTTTGCATAAATTGAAGAATTATTTCCTATGTTGTGATTGAGAGGTTATGTTGGGGGAGGGGGGCGATGACAACTTCCTCATTGGCTCAAGGGGGCGATTCGTTCAAAAAGGTTAAGAACCACTGGTGTAAATCACTTAAAGGAGACAAAGTTGCTCACACACACACACACACACCCCCCCAAATACACTGATTTCGTCAGCTGCCACCTTATGCTTGCTTTGCTCTATGCCAGTGTTTCTCAACCTTGACAATTTTAAGGCATGTAGACTTCAACTCCTAGAATTCCACAGCCAGCATTGCTGGCTGTGGAGTTCTGGGAGTTGAAGTCCACATGCCTTAAAATTATCAAGGTTGAGAAACACTCTCTATGCTGTGACAGACTGGGATGAATTGTGGGGAGGGAGAATGAAGGAGGGGAATGCTTGGGGAAATGAAAGTAAGTGCTGTATCTCCCCGAGAAGCTGCCTCAAGGTCACTCAGCTGGAAGGAGGAGGGAATTGCATACCAAACTCTGCTTGGAGTGACTATTCTGAAAACATCTTGCCTGTACCTAATTGGTTACAGAAAGCATGCAAATAGGAGAAATTGGCATACAGGCAAACTCCATTAAGGAACTCTTTCTGTGTAAATATGTACGACAGCATGCCCTGCCCATTGGTGTCAGAAATAAACCTCCAAACTAGCACTAATTAGGTAATGAAACGTCTACAAAAAAACAACAACAACCAAACTCATAGCACACCAAGGATCCCACAGTTCAACTCTGAACTACACACGTTCTCTTCTATTGGTGCCCCCTTCTTCTCTCTTCTTATCAGCTCCCTTTTTGTCTCTGTGATAGTTTTATTCCCTCTCTTCCCTCCTACTTAAACAGAACAGGCTGTTCATACTGCGGGTCTACACCCTGGCAGAGAGTTTCTGAAAATAGGCCAAGGGCTGTGGGTGGCTGTAAGGACTACAAGTTCCCAACCTCTGCTACGCGCAGGCAACCTTCCAAATCTGCATAAATGCATTAGAATCATAAGGTCAGGAGCTCTCAAGGAAATGGTCAACCCATGACACATGAAATCAGTGTTCCAACAGCTCGGCTCCTTTAGTATGTGTGTCTAACTTTATACATATGTACAAATCAGCTGGAGATTGTTCTGATGGAGCTTTCAACCTTTTGACAAAAGCTCTGGATTCCACAGATGCTTCCACCTCCAGGAAAGAAGCGTCACCAGGAAGACACCAGATTAAGATGCTTCGAAACTGTCATTACAGAGATGTGGTAAGAAAGCAAGGGACCACATCCCAACAACTGATGAATCAAAGTCCTTCCAAAGCCAGCAATTTCTCCAGTTTTACTAAGGGTTTTTGAGTTTGGTGCTTACCCAGGAGGTCATGGGGAGGGAATGCAATGGCAACGGTTGGGGTAGCGGAGCATAGATATTGGTGAGACTCAAATCCTTGAACTTCTTTCCAATCAGGGCCAGTGCTTTGTCAACGTTTTGCTGAGAGCCTGAGGGGAAGGAAGGGGAGAAGAAAATACAGATTTTAGAAGATGTTTAGGCACAAAGGAAGAATCACGATAGCCCGCCTCAGGAAGAAACGCAAGATCTGCCCATTGAAGCAAGAGAGGAATGATTTTGCTTCACAGCCTGTAAAGGAGCAGCCAAGCCAATTTCTATGTGAAAGGAAGAATTCAATCCATCGTATTTACACCAAACTCAATGGTTTTCCATTTGGACCAGTGTTTCTCCATTCAACAATCTTAAGATGGGTGGACTTCAACTCCCAGAATTCTTAAAACCAGTATGGCTGGCTGGGGAATTCTGGGACTTGAAATCCATCCATCGTAAAGTTGCTGAGGTTAATTAACACGGATCTGGACCATTCTTATCTATAGCAGTAGCAATAGCACTTAGACTTACACACAACTCCAATAGTGCTTTACATCACACTCAGGGCGGTTTACAAATGTCCACATATCTCCCCCAACAATCTGGGTTCTCAGTTTACCGATCCTGGAAGGATGGAAGGCTGAGTCAACCTTGAGACAGTCAGGATCGAACTCCAGGCTGTGGGCAGAGTTTGCCTACAATACTACATTCTAACCACTGCGTCACCACAGCCCCACAAAGTCTTAATATGAGCATCACTCCTTATCTAATCAATGTAGAGGGAAGCACCACAGGAGTGGAGAATTCTCAGATTCAGTAAATCAAAAATCAAATGTGCCATATTTTAAACTTGGGGTGAAATGCCCATTCCACATAGTCCTCCAGCAGGTACCACTCACCTTCTATATGACAGATCTGGAAGTCCTGGGTGTGAAGTAGTGTGAAAATGTAGATTTTGGCACCAGAGACTTGCTTCAGGAAGTTCACATATCTCCCTTGTTTGCCTATCAGCCGTCCTACTAAGTGCTACGGGAAGAAGAAAAACGGGAAAAAGAATAATAAATGGAGGAACACATTTCCAGATGTCTCATCCTGTAGATCAGAAAGGACCAAGTGTATCATCTCTGGAACTACATAAACTTATTTATTTTTCATAAACTTATTTATTTTTGGAGTCCACAAGTCATAAAAGGGCCAGGTTTGAAGACCCCTCGTCTAGTTTAATGAAGAGAAGGACTAGGGATAACATGATAGCAGTCTCCCAATATCTCAGGGGCTGCCACAAAGAAGAGGGAGTCAAGATATTCTCCAAAGCACCTGAAGGCAGGACAAGAAGCAATGGATGAAAACTAACCAAAGAGTGAAGCAACCTAGAACTAAGGAGAATCTTCCTGACAATTAGAACAATTGATCAGTGGAACAACCTGCCTCCAGAAGCGGTGAATGCTCCAACACTGGAAATTTTTAAGAAGAGATTGGATAGCCATCATCATCATCATCATCATCATCATCATCATCATCATCATCATTAACTAAGCAACAGTTTGGTCTAGTGATTAAGGCACCTGGCTAGAAACCAGGAGATTGTGAATTCTAGTTCCACCCTAGGTTTGAAAGCTAGTTTGGGTGACTTTGGATCAATCACCAGGAAACAGTGAGTTCTAGTCCTGCCTTAGATATGGAAACCAGTTTGACTGACTTTGGGGCCAGGCCCTCTCTCTTAGCCCAATCTACCGCAGAGGGCACAGCTCCCCAACCTATAGGGCACCGCTATAGGGCACAGTTCCCCACCCTTTCCAGCTTGGCGGCCTGGAAGGAAAGGAAGGAGTAGGGAAAATGTGTGTGCACACGGCCTGCAAATGGGCGCACGAACAGTGGCAGTGTTAGTGTGCATGCAAGAGCACCCGTGGCAGTACTCTGGCGCCTGTGTGCATGCACAAATGGGCTGCTGGCACCCACGCACATGCGCAAACAGGACGCTAGTGCCTGTGTGATGCTGGTGGCAGTGCTAGTGCACCTGCGCATGCGTAAACAGGGTTGCTAGGCCCCACACGGCGGCACTATCGTGAGTGGGGGGAGCTCGCCAGCTATTCCCACAGCCTGGTGGCCAATAGGCCACGGCCCGGTACCAGGCCGTGGACCCTAGGTTAGGGATCCCTACTATAGGGGAACTAGGAGGAGGAAGGAATATTATGTTTACCACCTTGAATTATTTATAAAATAATAAAAGCGGAATAAAAAAAAACCTTTAAAAATCCCCGCTATTCTTTAGACAACTGCCAATTAAGGCAGCTCTTCTACCAGCATGAGGCCTTCCCAGAAAATACTTTTTTGTGAGGATGAGTACTCTTGTCACAATTCAGGGACCAGGAATACGATGCCAGCGGCTACACTGGCCGGGTTCCTTGGTTCTTTTATTAAAATTAATAAAACAAGCTGGCATAAGTAAATGCCCTCCAGTTAAGCTCTACTCCTACGGAGACACACCCAGGTAGTTGCTTGGCATCCTGACAGAAGTGGTTTGCCACTGACTCCTCCTCAGAATTTTTTGATTCCAAGTCTGGCTGTGGTTCTAGGGTGATCTGGCTAACTCCTCTCTAACTACAGGTAGTCCTCGACTTACGACAGTTTATTTAGTGACTATATGAAGTTGCAATAGCACGTTAAAAAGTGACTTATGACCATCTTTCACATTTACAACCGTTGTAGCATCCCCATGGTCACATGATCAAAATGCTTGGAAACTGACTTAACAACTGCAGTAATTCACTTAACAATGGCAAGAAAGATTGTAAAATAGGGCAACACTCAGTTAACAAAAGGTAGTAAGTTGAGTACTAATTGTACTAACCAGCAGAGGCCCTGTGGGTTACAATAATACAGAGTCACCTTATAGAGGAGATGAGTAGTATAAAAATTGAAAGGAAGGAAGGAAGGAAGGAAGGAAGGAAGGAAGGAAGGAAGGAAGGAAGGAAGGAAGGAAGGAAGGAAGGAAGGAAGGAAGGAAGGAAAGAAAGGCAGACAAGTGGTAACTTCAAACCTCATTTTCATATCCAAATATCTCTAGGCACTGAATTTTATTTTTTATTTTATTTTTATTTAAAGTTTTTTTTATTCATATCACATTGCACAGGAAAGAACAATGGTAATTCTCTATTTTGCTAAGAAAACATCATGGAAAGGCAAGATACAAATAGTCCCCAACCTACAACTATTTGTTTAGAGACCATTCAAAGTTATAACAGCACTGAATAAAGTGATTTATAATCACTTTTCACAGTTATGAGCGTTACAGCAGCCCCATGGTCACATGATCAAAATTTGAGCTCTTGGCAACTAGCATGCATTTATGACACTTGTACTGTCCCAAGGTCATGTCATCACCACTTCAAATTTTCCCAGCTGGCTTCCGCCAAACTAAGTCAACAGGGAAAGCTGGATTCGCTTAATTGCATGATTCAGTTAACAACTTCAGTGATTCACTTAACAGCTGTGGCCAAAAAGGTTCTATAATGGCGCAAAACTCACTTAACAACTGCCTTGCTCAACAACAGAAATTTGGGGCTCAACTGTGGTTGTAAGTCAAGGATTATCTATACCAGGGGTAGGCAACCTTGGCTCTTTTATGACTTGTGGACTTCAACTCCCAGAATTCCTGAGCCAGCATGGCTCAGCATGGAAACTTCTCCCTTTCTCCTCAGCATAGCTGGCTCAGGAATTCTGGGAGTTGAAGTCCATGAGTCATAAAAGAGCCAAGGTTGCCTACCCCTAATCTATACTATTTGCTACTCAGGACACAAAAACCAAATATGCAATGCAGCTACTTCTCGTTGTCAGGAAAGCTTCAGCAAGGAGAGTGCTTGGATGCAGTTAATGATGAAATAACATAAACCAGATTTCACACACAATCCTTTAATACCGTATGAGGTTTATGCGCCAACCACTGATGCAAAAAGAGGAACTTGATGGGTTTTATTATTACAGTTCAATCCAAAATCAACATCATTCATGCAACACAAGAAGAGCATGGAAAACCTTCCAAAAGATCACTGGAGTCCGAAGGAAGATCAAACTCAAACTGGTATACCAAAGGGTGCATGGACAGATAGTAACGGATTTTAAGTAGATCCAACAAAAATGGAACATGTATTGCTGGAGCTGGGGTGGGCGCGGTTTCGGCTTGACACATCCGGCCTGTGGGCCAGCAGTTTGACAGCCCTGCTTTAGACAGTGTTTCTCAACCTTAGCACATTTAAGATATCTGGACTTCAACTCCAGAATTCTGGGAGTTGAATTCCACACATCTTAAAGTTGCTAAGGTTGAGAAACACTGCTTTAGAACAGTGTTTCCCAAACTTGACAATTTTAAGGCATGTGGACTTCAACTCCCAGAATTCCACAGCCAGCGTTGCTGGCTGTGGAATTCTGGGAGTTGAAGTCCTCATGCCTTAAAATTGTCAAGTTTGGGAAACACTGCTTTAAAAGATATTCCTTACTTACAAGAATCTCTAGTATTAGAAGATGGGAGTTAAATCATCACTCCGGTCATTACCAAGATGGAAGGATACAGGAATGGAATACCCACAGAAATATGGCAAGCAAGAGAAGAACCACCATAAGGGTTCTAATTAAGCTATGACAGCAAATCTGGAGATGACACAGTGGTCAATAAACTGGAAGAGGTCAGTCTGCACACTACACACCAATACCAAGAAAGAAGGTTTAACAGAATACTTGGGTCATCATTTCAGAGATATTTCCTTATCAGATTCCTCAAAGACTTCAACAATGGCAGAAGTTCTAAAGACCTGCCTTCATTGGAAAAGTTCAGAGATGTATCTGCCTTGAAAATAGCCCATTTTGGACTGTATAGCACAAACAGCAGCAGAAGAAATGTTTTGTTTGTATTCTGCCTTTATTATTTTTACAAATAACTCAAGGCAAATATATTCCTTCCTCCTCCTATTTTCCACACAACCACCACCCTGTGAGGTGAGGTGAGCTGAGAGAGAGGGATTGGCCCAAAGTCACTCAGCTGGGCTTTCATGGCTAAGGCAGGACTTGAACACATGATCTCCTACTTTTTAGGGCAGGGGTCTTCAAACTTGGCCCTTTTATGACTTGTGGACTTCAACTCCCAGAATTCCTCAACCAGCGTGTCTTGCTGAAGAATTCTGAGAGTTAAAGTCCACAAGTCATAAAAGGGCCAAGTTTGAAGACCCCTGTTCTAGGCTGATGCCTTAACACTAGGCCAAACTGGCTCTGTTGTGTCATAAACTATTTTATGATGACTAATGTCATAAAACATTTTATAAAATTTGTCAAAATTCAATTCCATGGGAGTCTGGTCCCAATTTTTGGATGCATTCTCTAAATTAGCCCATTTGAGATAAAAGTTGTTGCCCTGTGGCATACCGTTTTGCCCAGTTAATGGTTATGACAGGGTTTTAGTAGTATGTAGTACATAGTAGTACATAGATATAAAATAAATCAATCATCACACAATATCCTTAATTTCATATGCTAGTAAAACACTGGTTAGGATCATTATTCAATGCAGATTGGAATAGGAGATGACAGAAGCTCAAGATGGCCTTAGAAAAGGTTAAGGAACAAGACACACAATTGAGAAAATGAGAGAACAAAAATAAGTCAATATGTGCTTCATCAATTATAGAAAGGTCAACGATTGTGTCAACCATGTCAAGCTGTGGAATGTCCTTAGAAAATGAAGAGCTCAGATCAGTTCATTGTCTGCATGCAAAACCTATCCCCAGGACAGGAATTGAGTCCGGATGGAGATAATCAAACTCCAGTTCTGAAAAGGAGTAACAGAGGCTGCATATGCTCTCCTTACTTCCTCTACCTTTATGAAGAATATAGGGAAGCTGGAAGAAGATGGGCTGCAGATAGAGGTGAATATTTATAGTTCAGGGTTGAAATGAGGAGGGGTCCTGGGTGCTCTCTGAGCTTGGCTGTTTTCTTGCAGACGTTTCATTACCAAACTAGGTAACATCATGTGCTAGTAGGGAGTAGGGTTGGCTCTCAATTTATATTCTAGTGGCTTGCCCTATCAAGTGTTGATGGGAGCGGCCTTGGTGGTTCTTTCGTTGTTTATTGTTAGCTTGTTTGGAAGTTCCTTGATTGAGATATTGTTTATTTGTTGATTGCTGGTCTGATGTTAATCTTGGTGTCATAATCTCTGCTCCTCTGAGCTCTGAAGATGGGTTGGTTAAAACTAAAGGAAGATATATCAATGTCCAGGACTATGCTGATGATTCTACAGATAGCTAAAAGAGCCCAGGATGTGCAAGCTGTGGCAATAAACTCAAAGACCATGGTGAAAAGAAAATAGGATTAAGATTATAAGTAAGGAGGACCAAAGTGGTGACATTAAGCCTCAGCCTTAGAACTTTTAGGATCCACTATCAAGAATAAAGGAATCAGCAGACAAGAGGAATACCACAAAACTACCATTTGGTACAGCAACCATGGAGGCCTTGGAAAAGACATTCAAATACTGTGATCTATCTAGATCAGAGATAGGCAACCTTGGCTCTTTTATGAGTCGTGGACTTCAACTCCCAGAATTCCTGAGCCAGCCATGCTGAGGGGAAAGAGAGAGGTTTCCAAGCTGAGCCATGCTGGCTCAGGAATTCTGGGAGTTGAAGTCCACGAGTCATAAAAGAGCCAAGGTTGACTACCCCTAGTCTAGATCTACAAAGACCAGAATTGTGCAAATCACGTTAAAAGTAGTCCTCGACTTACGACATTTGAGCACAAAATTTATATAGCTAAGCAAGACAAGTTAAGTGAATTTTCCCCCAATTTATGACCTTTCTTGCCACAGTTGTTAAGTGAATTACTGCAGCCCTTAACTTAGTCACATAGTTGTTAAGTGAATTCGGCTTCCCCCTTGACCTTGCTTGTCAGAAGGTTGCAAAAGATGATCACATGACACTGTGACCGTCATAAATATGCCAATTGCCAAGCGTCCAAATTTTGATCACAGGACCACGTGGATGCTACAAGGGTTGTAAGTATGAAAAACTATAAGAAGAAGGCATACAACAAGGAGGCTTAACATAATAGGCATCACAACAGAGTTGGAAATGACGCTAGAGATCTTCTAGTCCAACTCCATGGACTATTTTATCTTAATAAAGTTTATCTTTAATTTTATCTTAATAAAATTTCCATAAAAGTACATGTCCCAAACCCATCATCCCAGGAAAAGATCCCAGTTTCTAAACCACGTACGAAGACCATCAAAATTAGGAGAATGTGGACATTGGAGGAATAACATTAAAGGGCAAGCACTACGTCCAAGAAAATGCATAACTGAAAAAACTGGGAATCCCCATTTAAGCAAAATCAAGTCTAGACAGACGATTTTCTGGACATTACCTTTGGTATTTGAATTTCCCAGATAACAAGCTCTGCCTTATTGCAGTCTGTTCCCATCTTAGCATTAGGGCAGCTGTCATTCTTGCGGAGAGCACAACCGCTGTCCACCGAGTCCATGCTGTTCACGTCAGAGCCTAAAAAAGAAAACCAGCCACGTTCCTTCACTTACAGGGTGTTGAAACGCTGGGCAACGGCACTGCAACAAACTCAAGGTCTGGTCCTGTCATTCCAACTTTCTCCTTTTACATAAGGAGCTACAGAGATGGGTAGAACAAACTTCTCTAGCCAGATGATGTCCCGTCAGTCAGTCAGTCAGTCAGTCAGTCAGTCAGTCAGTCAGTCAGTCAGTCAGTCAGTCAGCCAGTATCTGTCTGTCTATCTTAACTCTATCTTGTCTGTCTATCTATCTTGTCTGTCTGCCTGTCTGCCTATCTATCTGCCTGCCTGCCTGCCTGCCTGCCTGTCTATCTATCTACCTACCTACCTATATATCTACCTATCTGTCTATCATCTGTCTGTCTGTCTATCTATCTGTCTATCTATCTGTCTACCTACCTACCTGCCTGCCTACCTACCATCTGTCTGTATCTATCTATCTATCTATCTATCTATCTATCTATCTATCTATCTATCTATCTATCTATCTATCATCTACCTACCTACCTACCTACCTACCTACCTACCTACCTACCTACCTACCAATCAATCAATCAATGGTAGTCCTCAACTTATGACTGTAAAGGAGCCTGGCCATTATGGTCATAAGTAGTGATGGTTGTAAAGGAGATCGCCACATGCCTGGACCCATTTTTCTAACCTTTGTTGTTAACCAAATGCCACAGTTGTTAAGTGAACCCATTGTTCACTATGGGCCATTTTTGCAAAAAAATTGGAAGTAAAAACCGATTTTTAGCAAATATACTGTATCTTAAATTGTGATCATGGGGCACTCCAAACAGACATATATGCAGGATGATTGCCAAGCACCCGAGACCAGAGGAAGAAACAACGGTCAGAACTTTGGAACTGGGTCACAAATAGCTTCTGGGCAGTCTGTCTTAACTTCAGTCATAAATCAAGGACTACCTGTACAGTGACATATGACCGTTTTTCACACTTATGGCTGTTGCAGCATCCCCATGGTCATGTGATCAAAATTTGGACACTTGGCATGTATTTATGACGGTTACAATATCCCAGGATCATGTAACCATCTTTTGCTTCTGACAAGCAAACTGAATGGAGAAGCCAGATTCACTTAACAACCGGATTACTAACTTAACAACTGCAGTGATTCACTTAATGACTGTGGCAAGAAAGGTCTTAAAATGGAACAAAATTAACGTAACAAATATTTCACTTAGCAACAGAAATTTTGGGCTCAATTGCGGTTGTAAGTTGAGGACTATTTGTATAAAGCCAGAGATCTGGAAGGTACTAGATTCAGAAAGGTGCAAAATAACTTGGATAAGAAGCACGGAGGAACAATTCTTTCCCATCTTACACTGGAATCCAAATTCTCCCCAGGCCAGACAATCTCTCATGGATCTACCTATCTCACAGGGTTGTCACTGGGGAGAAAAGTGGGAAGAATAGCTATGACTGCTGCCCTGACCTTCTAACTGAAAGGCGAATGTAAATCTGATTAAAAAATGCATAGACCTGACCAGTTTGTTCATTCTCCAAAAGGGAATACGTATGGGCCCACAAGAAACATTATTTATTAAATTCATACATTGCCCATCTTACTATCCAAAGCAACAACGGTAGCTTGAAATAGAAAAGACTGACATTCTTTTGATTATTATGAGATGGCAAACTCTCTAGGATGTATCTAGTTACTATCTTCATCAATATCCCCAGTGTTTAAGAACAATATACTATAACATTTTCTTTCTTTCCTTTCTCTTTTTCTTTCTTTTTCTTTCTTTCTCTTTCTTTCTCCACTCTCCCTTCTTTCCTTTTATCTATCTATCTATCTATCTATCTATCTATCTATCTATCTATCTATCTATCTATCTATCTATCTATCTACCTACCTACCTACCTACCTACCTACCTACCTACCTACCTACCTACCAATCACATTTTGAAACTGCCCATCTGCCTCACAGAGGATCTCTGGGCAGTGTACAGTAAAATATTAAAACCCCAAAAAATGTAAAAGAAATCAAAATTTAAAAAGAGACAAGGATGATTAAAAGCCACATTTAAATTAATTAAAAAATGAAGGGAGGGCTTTCAGATCTACAGCTGCATGTTCTTTTGCACTCCCCAAGCAAGACTGTGGAGGCATGTTCTGTGGTAAAAGATAGGATAATTTCCTCAGGATACCCCTGGAAAGGTGGTTATTTAAGAGAGATTTCTTTTTATTTTTTGAAATATTGGGATCTGAGCATCAATAAATCTGTAGTGAAGTTCATGGAAATGGAAATTTGGGTATATGCATGTATCAAAAAAATTGGGATGGTCAAATCCACCCGGTTGTAAATGCATATTGAGAAGGAACTTCAGTCATATGCCACCATTTTGACTTTTTTTGACAGAAAAAAGGAGTAGCTTCAATCAAGCATCTTTGATTTGGGGACTTTAATGAAAAATAGATATTGTTAAGACTGACCAATTTTAGAAGCCAGAATTAAAAATCCAAGCAAACCCATTTTGAGTCAGATTCAGAGCCTTGATTCTGGCTTTGATCGTTTGAGCAAACATCAAACTGTGGAGAGTGGAGAAGTTGGAACTGCAATTAGTTCTCAGCTTACAACCATTTTAGTGACCGTTCAAAGTTACAGTGACACTGAAAAATGAGATACATGATTGGGCTTCCCGCTTATGACCAATGCAGCATCGCCAGGGTCACGTGATCATAATTTGGGCACTTGGCACTCATTTTTTTCAGTGCTGCTGTAACTTTGAACAGTCACTAAATGAATGGTTGTAAGTCAAAGACTATCTGTATAGCTAGGTTTTTTTTTAAAGCAATAATTAGGTTTGTTTAATTTTGGCTTGATACAATTATGAACTGAGTCTTTGTGGCTTATAAGCTGGAGTTTATGGCTCAGGCTTGAGTGGTGTCAATATGGTTTATTTATTAAACCATGATTTAATAGAATACTTACAGTCTAACCGAGGGGTAGGCAACTTTGGCTCTTTTATGACTTGTGGATTTCAACTCCCAGAATTCCTGAGCCAGCCATGCTGAGGAGAAATGGAGAGGTTTCCATGCTGGCTCAGGAATTCTGGGAGTTAAAGTCCACGAGTCATAAAAGAGCCAAGGTTGCCTACCCCTGGTCTAACCTATACTAAATATAAATCTATAATTTCCATATAAATATTGTATACATAATTTATTATAAATATAAATATATCAAATATATACTGATAAATACTAAAAACTAAACCAACCAAAGCTATTGGGAGTCAGGTGGTCTACAAATTAAAATAAGAAATGTGAATCCAGGCATAGCATCTAAAGTTGGCTTTAGAGCAGCCCAAACTATGAATTTTCTATATATAAAGTCTATGCTGTTTTCGGAACATAACCAGTTTTTCTAATTTCTGCTGCCTCAGTGAGAACTACTCGTAGATGCTTGGATTCAGGAGTTGTAATTGAAAAAAGGGAGTTTTTTCCCACAACTCTCCTCCTAAGGCTCATAATATTCCCCCCCCCCCCCCGTGAGGCAGCCCCCCCCCCATTTCCAGACTTTTTAGAAAGATGTGAGAAAAATAAGAGCAGGCCCTATAGGTAGGCCTTGACTTACAACCACAACTGAGCCCCAAATTTCCATTGCTAAGCAAGACCATTATTAACTGAGATTTGACCCATTTTATGACCTTTTTTGCCACAGTTGTTAAATGAATCACTGTAGTTTTTAAGGTAGCAACACAGTTGTTAAGTGAATCTGGCTTCCCCATTGCCTTTGCTCGTCAGAAGGCTGCAAAATGTGATCCCATGACCCCGGGACACAGGAACCGTCATAGATACATGCCAGTTGCCAAACGTTTGAATTTTCATCATGTGACCATGGGGATGCTGCAATAGTCATGTGAAAAAAGGTCATAAGTCACTTGTAATGTACAGTGCCCTTGTAATTTGAACTGTCACTAAATGAAGGGCTGTAAGTTGAGGACTACCTATATTTAGTTAAGATGACAGAGAATCCTCACCTCCTGAGTGGTCTGTATCGGCCTCCGTTGGCCACTGCTGTTCGTGGCTCAGAGGTGGAAAGTCCTCCTTCAGCAGGCCATTGCTATATGGCACCCTGTTTTCCGTTGACATGGAGGAAGGTGGCTTCTGGCTTGACACGGACTTGTTCTCTGAGTCTTTGATGGTGGACATGTTCAACAGATCCAGGTGTTGTGGAGGTGGAGATGAAGCATTTTTCAAGAGATCCTCAGCACTAGCCCCATCTTCTGAGGTGCAGGCGCTGCACCCAGAATCTTCCATCACTATGTGACCATCCTCAAACTCCTCCTCATGGTTCGTAGCTGCTGTCAGACTGCCAACAGACCGCCTGATGGGATAACTGGAGTCTCTGAGCCGGTTGTGACTTCGGTTGACCAGTTGGCCGTGTGTCAAACAACTTGAATACGTAGCATGACGGTTGACATTCTCCTCCAGGAGGGGAGATACTTCCACACTAGCAACCTTCTGGTTCATACATTCACCACCCTGGCTAGATTCTGCTTGGCCAACATTTCCGGTGGACATCTTCTCCCGAGGACTATCCACCCGGCTTGCTATTTGGCATATCCTCTCTGACATATCACTGACCGACCCTGATAATACTTCCTCGGTAGCTGCCCGGATGACATTAGAAATGATTTGCATGGCCACCTGCTCAATCTTCTCTACTTCTTCTTTGTCCAAACTAATGGATCCTATCCTCTCTTTCTCCAGATCACCCTTATACCCAACTTCTCTGCATCCATTGTGCTTCAACATGCTACCAATCTTTGAACTGGACATCATCCCTTCCTCAACCACCTCCGATCTAGTAGGTTCAACACACTTGGTCGATGTCCCAACTGCAGTCTCTCCTTCACCACTATTATTATCACTCCCTTCTTCCATTTCAACAGGATCCTTAGGGATCTCACCCAGAACCTCTTCAATTATCTTTCTGGAGCAGGTGACGGGGAAAGAATCCATAGAGGTGGATGCAGAACACTGGTCTTCTTTCAAAGATGTCTCAGATGAACCGATCTGGACCATCACATCTTTGCTACTGTCCTCCCATTTTTCAGAACCAGGAGCTGCCAACAGCCTTTGGTTTGATGCTTGATTGGAATCAGGCTTTCCTTCATTGGCTACATCACCAGTTTGGGAATCATCAACTTTTTGTACATCCAGAAGAGAGGTCTTGGGCGAAGGGGAACCAAGCACACCTTGACGCCCCATCACTTCCACTTCTCCACTGTCGTCCTGAAGTGAATCTGGTTGGAGGGTTGGTATTGCCCCAACAGGAAGGTCTTCTCTCAACGTTTCCAAGCTTTGGGCTCTGTCTTCTGCCAGAGGTATCTGCCATTCTTGAAAGGGTGAATCGCTACACTGCTTGTCCTGCAGAGGTGGAGAAAATTCACTGTTCGACTGTCCAGTTTTCCAAGAGCTTGGCTCCTGAGGAGGAGAACATTTCTGGCACTCTTCCAAGCTAGGAAGATCTTGCCTGTCGTGGTTACTGACACGCTCCTTTTTACGCGAAGAAAACCACCACCAGCCGATGAGTGCCAGCACTCCGGGAATGGTGAACGGCAGCAAATTGCGGAAGTGCAGCGCCATTTCATGCACCCTCAGAAATTATACCTGAAAAAGAGAGAGGAAAAGGGGCCATATTAAGATTTCAGTTGTCTAACAATGTTTAGAAAAGGTAGCTTTCCACATCCTATTCAAAATAACATTTTTTCTCAACATTGGCAGCTTGAAGATGAAGCATAGATGGCTGGGGAATTCTGGGAATTGAAGTCCATACAGTTTCAAACTGCCAATGTTGAGAAACAGTGACTTAAACAATTAATACACAGCACCATTTCCATCAAGAAGCTCATCTTTAAATTATATCTTAATTCCTATCAGTTCTGATAACCATAACAAAAGTCATAGCCATTTGAAGGATTGTTCTTCCTTCTACAAGAAATATCCAGCTGTCTTCTTCAACGAATCTTAGTTAAAACAAGCCACAGCATAACATAAGGTGGTAAGGGACAGTGAAGAGAGAGAGAGAGAGAGAGAGAGAACTAATACAGGCTAGTCCTCATTTAGTGAACACAGCTGAGACCAGCAACTTGGTCATTAAACAAACTTGTCACTAAGTGAAACTGGAACTCTGCTTACATCCTCACTTCAACTTTCCTTGGCTTTACAGACCTGCAAAGGTTGCAAATGTGAGAATGGGCTATAAAGTTACTTTTTCACTGTCGTAACTGTGAACAAACACTAAATGGGGCATTCGCTAAAGGAAGATTCCCTCTCAAAGTCAAAGTCAAAACCATTTTAGTAAGTTAAAAAAATTGGCTGAAAATAATAACTGTAAAGACAAATATAAATTGCGTTAGAAAACAATAATCAAAGGCAGGGGGTTACTGAGTTTGGTATTAATACTTAAGGAAGGTTAATTGATTGCAAACTGAATATAAGCCAGAAATGGGTGAGACCTCAAACAAACCATCATTTCCAAATGACAATAAATAATTGTTCGGCTCTGTTTGGCTTCCCACATTCAGTCCTATGCCCGCTTAAAGGAGGATTTAGAGAAACTGGAACAGGTGCAAAGAAAGGAAATCAGGATGATCAGAGGATTATGAACTAAGTCACAGAGGAGAGATAGACGAAAGTGGGTTTAATTTAACCTTGAGGAATGACTGAAGAAGAACATAATAGGCTCTCTTCAAATACGTAACAGGATTTCATATCAGAGGACCAGACCTTTCTCTTACTCCAGAATGTGGAATACTGGATAGCAGATTTAAATTATAGGAAGCTAAATTCCAAGAGAATATCAGAAAAATCTGAACAATAAAAAGTCCCTGGAAGATGATAGTCTTCTCTTTACTGGGCCTGTTCAGATAGAGCAGAAGTGGGGAATTATGGCCCTTTTATGACTTGTGGACTTCAACTCCCAGAACTCCTGATCCAGCTATACTATGCTGGCTCAGGAATTCTGGGAGTTGAAGTCCACAAGTCATAAAGGGGCCATAGTTGGTGAGGTAGAGGCTAAACAGACACCTGTTGAGGATGTTTTAATTTGGACAGCTGCACTGAACAGGGGGTTAGACTGGATGACCTCTAGGATCCCTGCTAAAAACCTGCTTCTATGTGCAACCATCTCTTCCTCCCTTGGGACATTAAAATTTTTAAATGGACAATCAATGGAACGGCTTGTCTCCCAGAGTAGTGGGTGCTCCATCGCTGGAGGTTTTCAAGAAAAGATTGGACAGCCATTTACTCAGGGTGGTATAAGGATTCCTGCCTTGGGCAGGGGGTTGGACTGGAAGACCTTGAGGGTCCCTTCCAGCCCTATCACTCCATGATTCTACAATAAATTTGGAAAAACCCTGGAGGATACACTCACGGCTTTCCAACAACCATATTCTTGTACAGTTGTCACGATTAAGCACACAGACAAACTGGTCACATGTCAGACTTCCACTTGTTGGAACACATTCACAACTTTGTCATTATGTGAGTGGCAAGCTAGATACGTGCTAACATATCTTCAGAGGCTGCTGACCAGGATCACATCAATTTTACAGTACTAGAAATTCCCCAGAAGCCGAATGACTTGAAGTTGCAAAATTGAGCTGCAGATAGTTGTTGTGGGGAAAATAGAACGGAGGAAGGAGTACCATGTGTGTTTGCCACCTTAAATTATTTATAAAAATAAAAAAGACGGGATAAAAACAATCTAAAGAAAACCCAAACCATGCAGAGTAGCACCCTCCAAGATCAAACTCATATTGTCCTAGAATTGTGCAGCAGTTATAGAAGTCTAGGAAAAGATGCAACTTCTCAGCCTTTCAGGGTAGACTAGACTAGGAAAATAAAGTCATGAAGGCTAATACTGTTTTTATGGAATGGGATGGAATGGGACTAGGAAATAGAATAGAATAGAATAGAATAGAATAGAATAGAATAGAATAGAATAGAATAGAATAGAATAGAATAGAATAGAATAGAATAGAATAGAATAGAATTTGAAAAAGTGCGATTAGATGCACAAGGAATTTGTCTCCAATGAATAAGCCTTCAGTGTACATGCAAAACAACAAAGTAATAATAATCATAATAAAAAGGATAATAATAATAATAATAATAATGATGATGATGATGATTTCAAAAGTAGTGGAACAGATGAGAAGGATAAGAGTAATACAGCCCTATTACATAGGTAAATATCCACAGACATAAGACAGTACTGTGGGAATTAGGTGTTCAGCGGAGTGATGGCACCAGTGAAAAAATTGTCTTTTGAGTCTAGTTGTTTTAGCATGCAATGCTCTGTAGTGCCACCCCAAGGCGCAGAGTTGAAACACTTTATATCCAGGATGTGAAAGGTCTGTAGAGATTTTCTCAGCCCCTTCCTGTCCCACGCAGTATATTCTACTCTATACACTATCAGTAGAAGTAGAATAGAATAGAATAGAATAGAATAGAATAGAATAGAATAGAATAGAATAGAATAGAATAGAATAGAATCTGGAAGGGATCTCCCCCCTACTCAGGCAGGAAGCCCTATACCATTTCAGACAAATAGTTGTCCAATCTCTTCTTAAAAACTTGTACTGGAGCATTCACAACTTCTGGAGACAAATCATTCCACTGATTAATTGTTGTCACTGTTAGGAAATTTCTCCTTAGTTCTAGGTTGCTTCTCTCTTTGGTTAGTTTCCATCCACTGCTTCTTGTCCTGCCCTCACAGTACAGTGTCTAGATCACGGGTGTCAAATTCAATCATGTCACGTGACACATTGTGATATATCGCAATGCTTTTTGCCTCTGCGGAGCTGGGGTGGGTGTGTCGCCAGCATGTGACGCATCTGGCCCGTGGGCCGTCAATTTGACACCCCTGTTATAGATTTATCCAATGACTGTCTGGGATGTCATTATTCCTCCTGTCCCCCAAAGCCATTCCCTCTGCCTCTTATAAGCATCCTCCAAACCTTCTTTTCCCCTTAAATGTGGATCTTTTCAGATCCTTTGGCTAAGCACCAATATACAGTTTAATTATTCAAGCAAGGTTTCCTCCGATGAACATCTCAGGATGTGTTTTAAGATTGAGATATCCGAGAGGATATTCTAAGCATTTATAATCCCTGTCTCCCACCCACCCCTTGCCCCAGAATAAAATCTGAAGCAGCTGTACACATCAAGCTGTAAGACCCTTTAAGAAGGGTCAAGCAAGAAACAGTGGCTGAAGCTGACTGCTTTGAAAATTTTTCCATTTTTTTTTTTGAAGGAAGGAGGAACAAAAGGATGCCTTAAGCTTGCATCCATAAAGCTGAAGCCACCATTTCACCACTTAAAATTCCTCTCCAAACCAGAGAGAGAGGAAGGAGCTTCATCATTCATTCTTTAGAACAGTGGTTCTCAACCTTTTTAATGCCGTGACCCCCAACCGGTCGTAAGTCGAGGACTACTCAACCAGTCATAAGTCGAGGACTACTCAACTGGTGCAGCACCGTTTGCAGAATGGGACTTTTGGCGGGCTCAGCAGGGCAGAGACAGCCTGGACAATTCCTATTGGCTTTTGAAAGCCAATAGAATTAGACTCTATTCAAGAGAGTCTATTCTATTGGCTTTCAAAAGCCAATAGAATAAAAGGGAGTAGCACAGCTAAGGAAAAGGGGGAAAAAATGGCGGACTGCGTTGTTTGGCGACCCCCGTGAAATGGTCGTTCGACCCCAAATGGGGTCCCGACCCAAAGGTTGAGAACCACTGCTTTAGAACATTGTCTATTGATAGAAGAAAATATTTTGTAGCTCAGGGTTGAACTGTGGGGTCCTTGGTGCTCTCTGAGCCTGGTGGTTTTCTTGCAGATGTTTCATTACCCCCTTAGCACTGATGAGGTTAACAAGTTTGGTAATGAAACGTCTGCCAGAAAACCACCAAGCTCCGAGAGCACCAAGGACTCCACAATGTTGTCTATTTCAGCATTCTTCAAGGATGCCACGGGACTTCGAGGAATCCACCAAAACTTAATGAGGTTCATGTAGCTATTTTTCTAAGGTACAGTTGAAAAGAAACCTGTGAGCCATTGACTCAGTCCTTCCCAAACAAACTTAGATAAATTACAGGTAGTCCTCAACTTACAACCATTCATTTAGCAGCTATTCAAAGTTACAACAGCATTGAAAAAAGTGACTTAGATCCAGTCCTCACGCTTACAACCATTGCAGCATCCCCATGGTCATGTGATCAAAATTCGGGCAGTTGGTAACCAGTATGTTTTTACGAGGGTCCCAGGATCGTGGAACTGTGATTTGTGATCTTCCCAGCCGGCTTCCAACGAGCAAAGTCAATGGGAAAAACCAGACTTGCTTAACAGTCATGAGAGTCACTTGGCCAGCGCCATGACTTGCTTAACTATCATGGCAAAAAAGGTCATAAAATCCAGCATGACTCACTTAATAACTGCCTTGCTTACCACCAGAAATTCTGGTCCCAGTTATGGTCATTATTGAGGACTATTGAGGACTATCGGCATCCAAAATTGGATAAAAGTAGATTGTCTTTGGGAATTGGCACACAAGCCCATCATCCCACTGCAGCAAGGACTTACAGGTTGCAACACGTACTAAAACAGCGGT